AAAGAACAAACTCTATTGTCTTCTACTATACCTCTGGGTATCATATGTGTTTGCATCCATACCCTTTGAGTCCAGACCTTTTCTATCGTACCTATGCGTGAATCTCTCCACTCTTCGAGAAGAATCCAGATAGAACAATAAAACCATGGACCCTCTTCTAGTGCTGTTCTTCTATTATTTTAATCAGAAAAAGAAAACCCGAGACATCCTCCTTCAATAAAGTGAATAGTTACAGGAGTTATAACTTTCCATTGAACACTAACATGATTGGCGAGGGCATCTTCACTAATTTGTTGACGTGGGAAAATGCGTCCTTTTAAGGTAAGTGCTATTACATTAATAGCTTGCTCGATTGGTTCAAAGTTGGGCGATTGATCTTCTCTACCCACATTAACTGCATGTGAGAAGAGTCTCGAAATCCTCCGTTGCATGCATGGAATCAACGATGGAGATGATTTCTTTACCTTTTGAAGTCATCCTGGCCGAGTGAATATTCGATATTCACGAGAGAAGATAAGAGGTAGCTACTTCCCAATAGATACACTATGGGGACCTTGGAAGGAGAAGTGGTATGGGGAAGATAAAGCTGGACGGTGCAAAGGAATCTAACTGGAAAAAGAAATAGGGGAATCTAGTTAAGAAAGGAACAGGGACTAACCGACTGAAGAAAGGAACAAGAAGCTATTTTGTAACGGGGAGGAAGAAGTTACAGAGTACTTTAATATTATGGGGGCAGTCACACAAGCCTGTAGATATTATAGGCTAAAAGCATTGTTGCAAGCTTGGAAGGAGTTAGGAGGTAAACAGACTCTGAGGTAAGTAGGCACTGGAGTTAAGAGGTAAATAGATGTTGAGGTCCAAAGTGAAAGAGGGGGCACGTGCCTGGAGTTCTCATTTTTTGATTTGGTGTAACATGGCTAGTTGCAAAGGTTTGCTATGCTTAAGAATCCATTTTCTAATTGGGGATGGAAGTGAGGTGAGAATCCTCCATGAACCTTGGCTACCTCATCTCGTAGAACTTCAACAAGTGGTGGAGTTAGACTCTCAAACCATGGTGGACTCCCTCATTAATGTTAGTTCAGGTAGTTGGAAAACTGATGAACTAAACCGCCTCTTTGACCCTCACACCATATACATGATTCCATTAGAGTCTCAGATTGTCGGAGCCAGGGATTGACTTGTGTGGACCCTAAACTCATCAGATTTGTTCACATGTGCCTCTGCTTACAGAACTATAGTGTTTCCTTTGGTAGTGCCTTACACGAGCCATTCCCTTATTAGCGGAGCTCTCCAAGCGAAGTGTGAAGTTTGATAATGCTTGGTGTGTAAGTGTAACGAACGGGCTGAAGACATGGAACATTGTTTTTTCAATTGTCCATGCAGTGAGGAATGTTTGGTTTGGATCGGCTCTATCATTAGGGGTGGATCTTTTTGAAGGGAGAAACTTTATTAGAATACATGTTTAGCTCTCCATCTTAGCTCTAATAAGTTCCATGTTTATCTACAAAACTGCTTCAACTCCTCCCAAATCAATTCCTCATATAAGAATACATGCATCCACTCCTTTTATTCCCTTGTTTTTCTTGGCAAGTGTGTAATGAACTACATATTTCGACATGCCCTTTTACAATTAAAGAGGCTGTGGGTTTTGTCTCTCTTTCAAAGAAAGATGGAGCAGTTAAAAGTTGTGTTGGCTTTTATTTTTCTTTCTTTTAGAGTACCATCCTTGTTTCTTAACAATTCAAGTTTTGCTTCTAACATTAAGGGGGTGTTCTTTTTTCAGAATTTGAGAGGGGGGAAAGTTGGTCAATGGGGATTTTGGTTCCCATTGACCAAGAATCCCATGTTTCTTTTTTTAAGATTTATGTGGGGACCAGGGAAAGTTTATTTTCCTGGGTGATACCTCCTAGGTGGGTAAATAACTTTCCCACCTAGGGGGAAAGTAGCCAACACTTGAATGGGACAAAAATGCCCTTTTTAATAATGGATTTTTATGGCTAAAATGGTCATTGCCTTATTTATATGAGAAATAAAAGAACATGGATAAATGCACTTACCCGGGTAAGTGTTTCCCAGGAAAAACTTACCCAGGTAGCTGCATTTACCTGGGTAAGTAACTTACCGAAAAGCGAACGGGGCCTAAAGGTAAGTTGTAAATCCATTGAATGTTTGGTCTTGAATAGTTCTACCCACTCTTTTTGAACCGCCGTTGACTCGGACAGTCGGACCATCTGGCTCGAGAACTGTCCAAGCAACCAATTCCATTTTCCCCAAATCCGGCCCTTGACCAAAAATCATTGAATTGGTTAATGACCCATTAACCTAGGTGGTCGAACCGTCGACCCATTCGACCCGTTCATTGGGTTTTGGATGTTTTTTTATTTTAATTATTTTTTGTTAGAACGGGCCATCCATTCAAATTGGACGATTGAACTGTCAACCTGAAACCAATGGTCTGAACAATTCCGGTTCTGGGTTGTTTTTAAAACATTAGTTCTACCTCCATCATCCCTTAGAGTTGGCTTGCCAATTGAATGATTCCATCATGTGATGTTTTTGAGAAAGATTAATGGTGTTATTTGCATCTTGTTCAAGGGTTTACGAAGATACAGTTTTGTTGGGTTGTTCTTCCTCCTTTTATCTTTGATATGCATTTTTTTATTGGGTAAAAATTGAGAAGGCTCCAATGGTATGATTTTTATTTTGACTAGGTAAAAAAATGAATCTGCAATTCAAATTATCATCCCTATCCAACATAACAACACCTTTAGACTTTGGTCATAATCAACAAACCAAGAATTTGTGGATTCACTTGGAAACAAATCAGAGTTTATTAGTCATAAATTTCAATACAACCGATAAGCACCTATAATTTTTTTTTTTTTTAAATCAAGGTTCAAAGTTTCACAATGTATTCGCCTCAGCCTGTATTGGTTGATATGTATTGTATCATTAAGGGGTCAGCATGGGAAACACTACAAAATCATTTGTATCGTGTCTTTTCGTCGTGTCGTCCCCGTATCATAACAGTGTCAAGTCGTATTGGGGGTGTATTAGACCTATATCGGGGAGTATTAGGATTGTATCGTAGCCGTATCGAGCCGATACAGTACAATTTCATGTAGGCAAAAAATGAATTAATATTTTTTTTGGAGAAAAAAAGGCTTTTAACTCTCTCCAAAAGCTTTCTTTCTCTCCCTAACTCATCAAATCATCCTTACACATTCTTGGATTGTAAAATCGTTTTTAAAAAAAACCAAAAAATAACCTCATAAACTCAAGATTTTTTAGGTTTTTCAACTTTTAACAAAAATTGTAAAAATAAATACTTTTTTTTTCATTTTATTCGGTAGTATGTTCCAATATTTTGTGCTTATATATATATATATACTCTCTCCTTGTGCTGAAAATTCTATATTTTTTTGTACTTTAAATAGATCTATTTAATTTTTAAAGAAAATTTAGAAAAAAAAATTAACAAAAAACAATAAAATTTTAGATTTTTGGTTTAATCTTCCCATGAAGAATACTTATGTCATAGGTTTGTGGGTGATTTACCATATCCATAAATCTATTGAAATTTCTAAAATATTCATTTTTTATTTATTTTTGTATATTTTTGAATAAAAATATTTATTTTTTAATCTTTTTGTCTTTTTAAAATAAATTTTCCAACTTTTAATTCATAGATGTATTAAAATTTATTGTAAAACATTTATTTTTATTTTTTGTAATATTTATTTATTTCTTATAGTTTTGGGTTTGATCTAAATCTATGGATGATCTACCACACCCATAAAATTATTTTTCTGTTACATTTGATTTTATAATTTTTGTAATAAAAAATAAAATAATTTTTTGAATAAGAAATAAATAATTGTTTAAAAAATTATAGAAAACGTTTCATTGAATAATTATTAAGCTTATATTTTGTAGTTATAACCTTTTTAGAGTATACCTTTATGTTTTCATATGTTGATTATGACATTTTTTTTTATAAAAACCACTAGAAGGTGTGATTTTTATGTATATATAACTCATTTAGTATATCTTTAATGTTATTGATGTACATTTATAATTTATTGGAGTATCTATAATATTTTCATGAGTTTCCATGTGTTTCATATCCATACATATCCTGATACGCTTCTTAAATTTGTCTTATTAACTTAAAATTTCCGATACTTTAAACTCTATTTTAAATTACCTTATTTTGATTTATTCTTGCCCAAAAGGGAATGTTGAATTTGATTTAAAAAATTTAAGGAATAATCGAAATCAAATTATTGTTAAAGTGTAAGCAAGCTTCAAAGTATCGATATGATATGCTCACGCATATCGTATCGTATCTTTTAGGGTCCAAAATGCCTGTTCACAGGAGTTGCGGGACCCCTCTTTTTTAATAAAAAATATATTAGAATATCTTCCCAAAAATTTTGAAAAAAAAAACTAAAAGAAAAGCTGTTTCCACTTGTATCTAAGTACCGTTATGACGCAAAGGCGTATCGATAATTACTTTTAGGGGGCATTATTTTTCTTGATTTTGAGAGGGGGGAAAGTTGGTCAATGGGATTTTGATTCCCATTGACCAAAAACCCATGTGGGGACAGAAAAGGTTTATTTTCTTTTCCATCTTGGGGGAAAATTGCCAACACTTTAAAGGGACAAAAACGCCTCTTGTAATAATGAATTTTTATAAACAAAATGGTCATTACCTTATTTACATGAAAAATAAGTGCATTTACCCAGATAAATAACTTACCAAAAGGCTAGAGATTTGCCCTTTTTTTGAGGTGTTAAGTGGAGTAAAACCGCGACCAAAAGCAAAAAGGAGTTATATACATTTCGGCTTTGTACTTCGATGCAAATATCCTAGTGATAATGAAATTGCACTGTAAAAAGACGGAGGGCCTAAAGGGGCACATTCAAGAGTTCTTTGAATTCAATTAGAAATAAGAAATTATCCGTGCAAGTAGTGCAGGATAATTCTACAGTATCAATTAGAAATAAGAAATTAAACTAGAAATAATTGATCCTACATTCAAGAGTTCTTTGAATTCAATTAGAAACAAGAAATTATCCGTGCAAGAAGTGCAGGATAATTGATCCTACAGCATAAAAAATTGTATAAAAAGCATAGCTAAAAACATCCACGAATTTATCAAACTACACGGATTAAAGCCATTCATGCAACCATCTTAGACTTGGACAACTCAAAAGGCAAGCAAAATTTCCAGCAAAGGGAAAGAAACCCCCCCAAAAAAAGATTCGCATTCATCGCTTCTTTGAGACACCAACAGTCTTCCCCCTGCGCCCAGTGGTCTTGGTGTGCTGCCCACGGACACGAAGACCCCAGTAGTGTCGGAGACCACGGTGGTTTCTGCACCATTTAAAACAATAATCACGTCAGTCTCTTTAGCTACTTGAGATTGTGTGTAAAAAGGAACAACAATACCGAAAAATAAGATTCATGGTTCACAGGGTGCAAAATCCTTCATCCATCACAGCTATTAATTGCAAATTTCATCAACATTGACCCTTTCCCTTCCATTCCTTCCTTTATGCACACAGGCAAGTAGATGCTCCCTTCATTGGTATAGAATAATGCACGCTTCTCAAACAACACTACACGACTGAGTGCAAGGCAAGATAGTTTATTTAAGCATTCTACTAAAGCAATCAACATAATTAGGTTGACCGAGATTGCCTGGGCACATGGATTAGAACGCAATGATATTGAAAGAACAAACAACGATATAGTTACAAGTAGGGTTGTTAATTGGAACAGATTTGGTCCAATCCAACCGAGTCCAATAAGAGTCCCTTACAGGTGGACCAGGTCTAATCCAAACCAATGAATACTTTACCATTTTGGATCAGTCCAATTGAATGTCAGGACCATCAAATATGTTCAAATTGCCTTTACTTTAGTCTAGTTCCAACCCTAACGTCGTCCATTGACACCTGTATTCTTATCTAGTATCGATGGACTGCATATTGCTCCAATCCACTAAATTATTTGGACCAGTAAGTCTGGACTGGTCCAATTCAGCACGTCTTATTGGTCTATCCAATCCATCCAAATTGATTTTGATTTGGACAGGGTCCAACCCAAAACTGGCCCTTTGACACCCCTAGTTTTAAGTTCCAAAGATGACTTGCAAATATAGAATAGAGTAAAAAGGTGAGTTGTGCAGTCCCCCCTGTATTAATATTTATATTACATCTGGTATGCATGTAAAATTCTAACATTGCAACTTCTTGTCTGAAAATACAAAATTGTACACCACAAAATGATTAATAAATATTTATGAATACTGAACAGGACAGTGAAATAACAATCAAGACGATCTTGAATTGAAATCATTTCAGCGGAATTGACTAAGAACAAACCTGATCTTCTTCAGCCGCTCAAGATCATCCCTCAACTTCATGTCCAAGGCATTGGAAACAACCTGAGAATACCTACCATCCTTATAGTCCTTCTTCCTGTTCAAAAACCAATCAGGGATCTTGAATTGCCGTGGATTTGCAACAATCACCATGAGGTTTTCAAGCTCAGCGGCTGATAGTTCACCAGCTCTGCAACAGCAAAGGCCGGAACTTAGAAAATCAATCAGAGAAACACAATATTCAGAATGGAGCAACTGAGTAAATATCATACAAGCATTTTTTTGGTAATAAAATGAAATTTTATTACAATAAAAAGAGAAATTACAAAGGAAGGTGATCAGTAATAACCCAAGAGAAGAGAAAAGACAGCGTACAATTCCAAAGGACCAAGACCGATTCCAACGCTAATAAATGACTACCAATAATCACATGAAAGAAACTCCAAAAAAACACAGCCAAAACAATACCTTACTATAATAAACAAAATGAAAACACCACCCTACAACAACAGAACATTAATCCCCTACTTTCCCCCAACTGTTCAAGCAGTTCTCTGATTTTTTAATCTTTTCACAGCGAAAGGCTTCTTCTTTGGCACCTTGTAGTCCCTCGACCTTCATTAATTCTTTCCAATTCCAGTACCACATTTCTCTCAAAAAACTTATCTGACATCATCTCACCCTATCTTCTACAATCCACCACAAATCCTTTAAACAGACTAAGTTTATTTTGATCAGACTCAACCCTCGAATTGAATTCAATATCTTCAGCACCCAAACTACAGTTTTCCTAGATCAATTGAAACCCCCTTACAACAAAATCAATGAAAAATGAAATTTTGATTTTGCAAGATAAAAACACCAGATTTACGAGTCCAACAAAAAATCGTTAAGGTGTGCATTTCATCGATCAGAGATAGTTGTGCAATACAGTAATCAATCAAATCACTTAAACGATACTAATTTGTGTATAGACCAAAAGGGACCCACAATACGCAAACTGGCCAACATACTATAAAGCAATAGAATCCCTTTCAACATCTCGTGCATACTCCAACAATACTAAAAATCCAACCCACAATTGAGCTACCTCTTGGTTTTACTTGTAAGGAGAGCGGTTTAGTAAATGACTATACCGCCATAGTATATATATTCTTTCTCCTCCAATACAACTCGGCTCACATATCAAAAGAAACCATAAGAACAAACAGAAGTTCAAATACCAGAAACAAGCAATATGAACACCTAATAAACCAGAACTAACTTCAAATTTCTTATTTAAAAATCATTAACACTAAAATCGACCATCATATTTCGCCCGAAAAGTTACCATATCCCTATCTACAACCCAGATACATGTCTATTACTAGAATATGATCAGAACTGAAACATTAACAGAACACAATGAGATCAAACAAAAAAGATAAAAACAGAAGTACCTTTTGTTCATATCGACGTCGGCTTTCTTGCAGACAATGTTGGCGAAACGGCGACCAATACCTTTGATCGAAGTCAAGGCGAACATGATCTTCTGTTTCCCATCGACGTTCGTGTTCAGAACACGAAGAATGTGTTGGAAATCCTCATTTGCAACAAGAGACTGCAAATAACAGTCAACAGAAAACAAATATAAGTTACATACATACTTCACAGAGAAGCCACAATTGGTTGATTCGTCGATCGAACTGGATCGAAAGAGGGAGAGATTCACTAACCATGGCTGGGGCTTCCTCAACGCTCCCTTTCTCTTCTCTGATAACGAGCAGCAAATCTGAGGGAGGAGAGCACAGAAGAGCAGTTCCGCCCTGTCATGACGGCTTTAAAGGGTAGAGAAAGTCTGGAAAATGAAAAACCCTAGAAGGATAATGTATAGTTTTGCGTATCATACTATTATGCATTAAGGTCTTTCGTCCTTTAGAAATTAGACCGTAAGAAACCTTGACCTACATGAGTGATGGCTCGATCTAGACTTTTATTCTCGTACAAAGAAGCCAATCAAACGGCCTCAGATGAGTCATCCTTTTGGTTTTCTATGTCTTCTTGTGCCTCGTGTGATCGGCTGGCCCGACTTAGAAGTTTACCCTTTAATTTTATCGGATTGACTACAATACCCTTAATCTTTTTATAAATTTCTTTTCTGCGCTCTCATCCGGATAAAACTCGAAAAGCTCGGTGACTTGGCTATCGGAGAATTCGTAATCAAGCAGAGAGGTATGAACTATCCCAAATATTTAAGGAAGAAATTTTTTTTCCCATTTTCTGAAATTATGCTGCAAATTCTCTTCATCTTGGTTCAGTGTACTTATTCATGAAGAATTACATTAATGGGCAATGTGGTTTATCTTGAAATTTAGAAACACATCACTTGCAGTTGCAGAACCACAGAATCCCCCCCCTCTCTATCCACCATACTTGACATGCATTTGGTATGCAGACATGTTACTGTTACTGTTATTGTAATACCTGATAAATTTCCCATTTCATTATATTGATATATGTCAAAGTTGGAGCTTGGAATATCTGCTCTCTGGTGCAATGCAGGAACCCTTACTTTATCAATCAGAGTGAGAAAGAGGAAAAATTGTATTGCTTGATTGCAGTATCTAAACTTAGACTTGATAGTTTTGCCTGAAGTTACAGTTATGCTATTTATGATTGTATTTGTCAAATGGTCATCATATATTGTAGCAATTACATACTGTTGATTGATAATTTTGAGTTTCAGATAGATATGTTCGGTTTATTTCCCCTCAATTGTCTGATAGCAAAAGGAAAAAAAGGAAAAATGATTAGAATGTGTGACTTATTTATACTTTGTGAAGGTGATCTTGATCATGGGATAACAGACGTCAAGAAGTCATTGCTGGGTTGAGATTAGACACTGGATTTGATCGAATTCTACCAAGGATGATGTCTGTGTCTCTTGTGGTTGATAAATGCCCCACATTGTTCTCAATGTCAATTGAGAGAATCCACAAACCCTTCATCAAATGTAAGTAACTAATTTCCCTTATGTACCTTTTCCATGAATGTTAATAGTTGTGTCCAGGAGGGACCAAACACCTCATCTCACTAGAAAGAAAGGAAAGGGAAAAAAAAGAGAAAAAAAAAAAGACAAGAAAACCCCACCCACCCACGATCTATACCCTTGGGATACATGCAACATGGTTGGATGAATGTTGCCTTCATTCATTGATTGTATTTATCAATTACAGATCTTTGTCCCCACTGACCACAAATTTCATTTTGGCTGCTCACCTATCGAGTCAAAACAGTTGTAGTTGCAAATATTATAATGAATGTCGTATTGTAAAATCTTTGTCCCCACTGACCACAAATTTCGTTTTGGCTGCTCACCTATTGAATATTGACTCAAACCAGTTATAGTTGCAAATGTTATCATTGAGTGTTGTATTATTTCATACACTGGTTTCTTTGCAAGATAACCATGTCCTTTCCCTGGTTCTTTACTTTCACCTTGTATCCTGTTCACTATTCTTTTTTCCTCTGACCAGTGACTACCCAAAAGAATATATGATAATCATATAGTTGTTACCATTGCATGCTATTCTGTTGTCATTTTAAGTTGTTCATGCCTTATGTTTCTTGTCAATGTTCCTAGACAGCAGGTAAACTATCAAAGGGTCATTCAGTATCATCTTCTCAAGAATCTCTGTCCAGTAGAAGGGTTATTCTTTTACACAGTGGAGCTTCTTCGGTTGCCTTTTTGACCCTTAATCATGGCTTGACACCAATGCTAGTTAGGGCAGAGGAGCAAGGCCCTAAAAACCAAGAAGAAGAAGGAGATGAAGGCATTATTGGAGCCATTAAGTCTTTGTTTGATCCCAATGAGAAAACAAAATCTGGAAAGGTATTGCCAAAGTCCTACCTGAAATCTGCTAGAGAGGTTGTGAAAACACTGCGTGAGTCTTTAAAAGAAGATCCCAAAGATATTGTCAAATTTAGGAGGACAGCAGATGCTGCAAAGGAGTCAATCAGAGAGTATTTGAATAACTGGAAGGGACAGCAGGCCGTGGTTGCTGAGGTATGTCTCCTTTTTGCTTGGATACCATATGCTTGAAAAAGACATAAGCATCATATTAATTGAAGTTAGCTGGCTGGTTTGATTTTTGATCCAAGAATATCAAAAAGTAGATAGGGAAAATTTCAGCGTTGAGATCAGTGCTGATCACCAACGTCAAGTAAATTAACCTTTTCTCCAGTGGTAGCCATTCTCCAAGTCTAAAGTACAATTATCCACAGGGCTACAAATCGTTTGAAATTGAATTGGTCTTCTGGAATAGGAGATCTCTTATGTAAAAGCAACATCATGAACTATACTATGCTTGGATTATGTGCACAAGCAAATAATAGTAAAATAAATCTGATATTTGCATGTATTGATGAGTTGCTTAATGTTTAAAAAGTTGGTTGCTGCACTGAATTCAACCAAATTGACTGCTGCCAATGGCAAAATTTCAATCAAAGTAATTATCTTTCTCTTGTCAAATCCATAATAGTCTAGTATGGAATTGCAAGACATTCTGTCTGAAGAATTATGCCATTCAGCTTGTTGCCTTCATGTTTGAACTTTGAACTTTGCACTTACATGTCTAAGCATTTGTTTGGTCTCATCCCCCTCCCCC